ACTGTTCTAACATTATACCATTTTTTTTGATAATTTGACCAGATAAGTCAAGCTTACGATAATAATAGTATTAGTAACACAAATATTTTGAATATATTTTTTGTTGAAAAAAATATTAGAAAAAAAACTAGATATGCACTTTGGTTTTCTTTTCATGGCAATCAAAAAGTTGTTGACCCTCATTTTCCTGTTCATCGTCAACAACAGGTCCACGTTATAAATTCTTGTGCCATATAATTTTTGACATGTCCAAACAGAACTGAATTATTGCTTGAAATGGTGTTTTAAGTACACTTTTTTTTTCTGGAACGCCATGGTCTAAACCGATTTCATGAAAATCGAGATCTTTGTCATTAGCTTTGTTTTTTAGCTCACCGAGTTTTTCTGTGCCTGTGGTGAAGAAAAAATTTGTGTACCCACAATATTTCACGGCGCTATGTCCATTTTTTCAAAACGACCCGCCTCATATCTGATATTCTTTTGATCTTAAGAAATTATTCCGGGTTTTGATGTCCAACGTTTTCCAATCCGTTCCTAACCCTTTCAGATCGCTGATTTTCTTATATATCTGTTCATATTCTTTGCAGGAGATTATGCTTGTGCTACTCCCCAAAAACCCTATGTGTTGACAAAATGTCTCCACGGACAGCGCTACTACACACCGAAGAGTTGACAGTGCAATACAATACAATAATAAAGATATATCGGGTTTTGTTCAAAATTTGGATTTGTCGCTTTTTGCACGCAACGGGGAAGCTTCATATACGATTTTGTATGGGATACATCAGCTTCTGCTCAAGTCTGAATTCATGCATCGATAGAAAACTTTCCAATTAATATAAATATAAAAATAATTCATCCGGTTTTGCGCCACTGCTCCTCAAGCCACTTAAAAAGCTAGAGCTATGATATTCATCAAGAGGATTTTGCTTTTGGGAGAGATCTGGAAGTACCTTCCAATCACCTAAAGGATTTCTCGAAATAGCACAGTAAATGGAGCAGTAACTACAATTTTCTCAGAAAGTTGCTTCACTGACGTGTGGTGATCGTAAACGTTCTCTCTCCCTCTTTATTCCGGAATTGAATACCTTTTCGGCATATTGATGAGAAAGAATGGGTTAAATTTTATATTTCATTCATTTTTAAAATATGATATAATATTGATAGTCGATCATAAAGCGGTTTTACGATGCTATCAGATAGTTGTTTCTGTTTTTTCGTCTTGGACGCAGCCATTCTGTCGAAGATGAATTTTAAAGCGTTGCCGACCACTGATAGAATGAACAGCTACGAATTAAGGAACCTATAACTCTAATATAATGTTGATAATGTCCACACATAAGAAATGCCGCTAGTGGTGTAGGTATAATGCATAAATGACAATTGAAACATATTTGTAAAAAGACAGGAACATTTCCAAATCATAATGAAGGAAAGATTGGAGTGATATTCTAGAGAAAATCATCATATCTTTCGCAGAATAATCCTGTTGAAATCAAAATTCCCAGATCAGCTCCAGTTTTGGCCTTAATCTTTCTGTGCAATCATATGATTCAGTACAAAATAATGAATATGTTTTTGTTCGGCTATTGGAGAAACAAATTTATTATGGTTGTATTGCAATACTTCTAATAGACACTTTAATATATTAAGTCGATATTAATAGAAACAATTATTGGCATTCAACTCAGAATTACCTAAAAACTGAAATCGTTTTAGGCATGGAAATATTTATTTCTTTACTATCTATGAATCTCTCTTCAACATAGTCGATAGTACACGCCTGCTTCGCGCATGGCGCATGGCTTTGTTCAAAATCCCAAGATATATACTGATCAGACTTCTGATCAGTCAGATCAGAGGTATGGGTGCTTGTCGAAAAGTGTTGGCTGACAGAATTGCTCTGATTGGAGGGTCAGCGTGTCAGTGGTTCAAAACATTCAACACCTGGCGGTCAGAAGTTTCCCCACCATTACTTTGTATCAGGTTGAAGCGATATTTGTCTGATCACCGACCGTCGGTACTTTTACGCCATATTAATTTTTTTTTTCATTTCATAGTGTCTCATTAGGGAAACCATTAAAGTACCATTTTTTTTGACATTAACTCTCAGTCAAAAAATAACACTTATAGCCGAGTCTATTTTTTTCACAATATATGGCTCTATGAATGTGCTGTGACCGTTACGGTGTTTTAACTTACGACTGTGAAGAGTTCTGGTTAGAGGTCTGATGGGGAACTGTTTAGAGCTTGCCTGACCAAACAGTCTGGTCAGGAAGTATGTAGGAACCTTTATGAGGTGGACCTATTGAATCCATTACACACTTCATGACCCACCAGTCTGGTGCTTGTCGGATAGAGTATAGCGCTGACGGCTTACAGAATTTTCCTAACCAGATGGTCAGCGTGTCAAAAGCTGTGTCAACGTGTCAGCGTATCAACATCCGACACCTGTGGTCAGTATTACTACTTTTTGACAGGCCGAATAGTGTGCAAATTGATGAAACACTGTTCGTCCATTCGCCAAAAAAAATCGTTTTTTTTTCAAGATTTTACGATAGCAAACTTTTTTATACCCTTTTACAATGAATTCTCTATGATCCATACGGTGCCGGTGTCTGGCCTGAGACACCGTATTCCGAGCCTGACTGACTGGTCAGAAAGTCTGTGTGGCCCTAATTCCTTCACTGTAGTCAAAACAGATTTTATCCAGACGAAGGTTTCGTATCTGCGGTCGAACTTCAATGAAGTCAGTCGAGGAGTAGTACTCTGAAGTGATTAGTAATCACTCGATTGATTTCGGCATGTCTGTAGGATATAAATCAAAGTATTTTCCGGTTGCCATTTCCCATATCATCTGTAGCGATGTGGGGGAAGGTTTATTGTTACTATATTTATGATAATTGTTTCATAAATGAATTGTCTTCCTTTGTCATTTACACATTAGCTTACAAAAGGAATATCTTTCTCGTCTCGGCAATAATGGCAGAGTTGAAATTCATAGCCTGTAAATCGCCACTGCCTCGATACGTATTCCATGCAAAACGCCCTCGATTCGCGACATATACTTACCAATAGCTTAGCTAGTTGCGGTATATACTCCGGTTATACCGTTAAAACCACTGGCACTTCTGCTTAGAAGACGGAGCGAGGTTCAACACGACATTCCTACGATTAAGCTCTGATAATGTACGATCCATGCAAGGCTATAAATCTCTTGTGACAAACCAACACACTCACCACAGTTTCTACAGGGATATTCTAGATTGAAGTACGTTTGTAGGATAGGAAGTGAATGAATATTGTACCGCATATACCACATCTTTGTATAAAATCCGAATACTTGTGAAGATTCCAAGTTGCTGAAGATAAAATAAACGTTTGGTAAAGAAGTGTTTTTGGAGGGGGTAGAAGGGCCCGAGGAATTGATAGCGAACCGAAACGAAACAATTAAGTTTAACAGTATGCCTAATGTTGTACTTTACAAATATCTACCTGGTCTGTTCATCTATTAAGACTCAGTGATGCCTGCCTTAATTAAATTTAACCCTATATATGTCTGTTTCGTTACCGAGAATCTTGAACCGTAACGTTCAGATGATTCGTTATAACTTTTACGTACTAAGTTCACAAGCACTGAAATTAATTTTCTCTTATGGTGAGTTTAGTTGTGAAGTGTTATGTTTTGAAATCCTACTTACATGAATAGTTTACAGAATTGTTCGGTATGTCATGTTGCTCATAAATTTTTAATTTTTGAAGTAAAACTTCTTTATGCGCGCTTGACTTGGGTGTTACTGTAGGGGCAGAGAGAAAGGTACCTAAAGAATTAGGAGAAAACTAATTTTGCATGAGATTTCAATTTCAATGTTAATTTCGCGTCCGAAGATGTACAACTCTTGGTAATGGAATAACTGCAGTTTCTGATGAAAATCAACGGCCTGGTATCTGATAAATTGCATTTTCCACAGATGGTATATGTCCAGATGGATTCCAAAGAGCGATGATTACAGCGAATTTTAAAAAGGGTGATAGAAAACGTATTTGTAACTACAGACCCATTTCATTAATTATGAATTACTGACAGAATTGATGAATAATTATAACGTAATATCCGAACAGCATTCCGGATTTGAAGAAGGCATATTCCAATGACGCAATATCAGCAGTAACTAATAATATCTATTCAAACGTAGATGAAAGTATGCCCCCTGTTTATATCTTTCGTGATTTTGCCAAAGCTTTTGACACTGTGAACCACTCTAATTTGTTGGAGTTCTTGGAAGATGGGGAAGTTCGTGGAAGGTCACTAGAACTAATGGGGAGTTACTTATCTCTTCGCATGCAGGCGCGGAAAAAGTGATTTAATATGAAGTACCTCAGGGATCAGTGTTGGAACCGTTACCGTTCTCTGTTTACATAAACAGCGTATTAACGATAAATTCATTTGGAAAAATCTACAGTTTCGCTGATGATACATCAATCTTATAATCTGCAAACTCGTGGGAGAAAGTGAAACAAAAATGTAAAAATGATCTAGCATCTATGCTTATACCGTTATACTGAACATTGACAATTAACAATCAGTGTGTTATGATCGATATTGGTACTGCAAATCATATCAGATACCTAGGTGTAATNTTCTTGATCAAACTTTTCAAATGTATATTAGCATATTTTACTTTACAACACTTCTCTACTTTTTCTGTACTGATGATTTTAATGTTGTCGATTATAATTACGGATATAATTATTCTCAAAAATTATAACAGAAATATATTTCATCGCCGATTTGTATGAAACTGCTATGATTATGAATCTCAGTGGGTCAATTTTTTCACTCTCATGTTGTAAAGTGATAGAATTGTGTCGCATCTATTCGGTTTTATTGAACTCTTTGTTGTAAATTCCTTCCGATATTATGGCTTCGAAATCTATTTGTTGCCCTGGTTCATATTCGGTTTATTTTTTGTTGATAAATTTTCCTTTTTTGTTTACAGAAAATTCTGAGCCAGTCTGTTGTCAGCGTCCATATGGAGGTGCGACCGAAGTATTTAGTACCGGACACAAACTGTTTCATCGATCATCTCGATGGAATTCAGATCATTGCTCAGTCCCACTGCTACACCCTCATGGTTCCCATTGTTGGTGAGTTGATAGGATTTGATAAGATGCGGAAAATACGGTATAAAATGTGTTACATTGACATTTCTATCGGAAAAATCTTGACCTTTACTAGCCGAAGTCAACGGTGTATTGTTATTTCAATTGCTACGGAATTATCAATAGTAGGTTCGGTAAAATTAGTTATTAGCTTTCCTGTGTCAAGTTAATTACTGCGGCTGTACTCCATAGCCTTTGGTAATGTCTACCGTAGTAATAGACGAAACCACGACCAACAATCCCACAAAATATCTTTGACACAGCTCTCTCCGTCCGTAGTTTCTAATTTGATTAATTTATTTGTTTATGATGAAATTCTCTCTACAAATGAAATTGTTAACTTTCTATAAAAAAACTCACTGTTACATAAAAATTCATTAGTTAAAATATGTAGTGCAATGTCAAAGCTATCATGAACTTTATTTGAAAAATATCTCACATGTTTCGCTAAGACATTAGCTTTTTCAAGTGATTTATACTTCAAGTTGTTCTTACATTAATATTTATATACTACAGGCAACCATAATTGAGACTACCTCCAAAAAATTACCTGAACCTCTATCTAACGTACCTGTCCAATTATGATCACCTGAAGCATAGTATCTCTCATCTACATCAATAATAATTCTTTCTCAGTTTTTAAGAAAACAAGTTTGATAATGGTGATCTATTCATATCTAGTTGGTCATTCATTAGAATGTTTGAATTTTTAAATTTATTAATTTCCATTG